GCTGCGATGATGGGATCAAGTATAGCAGGGATTGTGGGGTTGGCGTGGGATCGGGCAGTGTTTCGTTCTGCTGTGCATGGGGTCGCTATGAGTCGAAAACGACTCAACGGCACTTAACAAGAACAACAACAACAGATGAGTTTTCATATACTCCTGAGACATCTGGTAAAAACTGTAAACATCCACCAGTGATGTTTTATCTCCTCTGAAAGCTATGTGCCTATGATTGAAAATCTCTGTAATTAGTTCCTGAATTTAATCATTGTGATCCCCATACCCAATTATCCAACAGAAGCCTATTCCCCACCACTAACCCATCCTTCTTATGACCTCCACCGAAGACTGACCAATCAAACAACTGTATTATAATTTCTTTGTTCCATGGACTATATCTGGCTAAGTTAGAAGTTGTTAGTTGGAGAATATTAGTTCTCACTAATATGGGCTAGGAGCTCTGGTAGCATAGTGGCTAAGACACTTGACTGCTAACCAGAAGGCTGGCGGTTCAAACCCACCAGCCACTCCTCGGAAGGAAGGTTGGGCAATCCTACTTCCGTAGTGATACTGCCTCGGAAACCCAAGGAGGGGTCGCTATGAGTCAGGGCTGACTCGACGGCACATAACAACATAACAACAATATGGGCTGGTGTCTTCCTGCATCTGGATGTATTTTTTTGTTTTCCTTTCTGTAAAATAAATCTTCTTAATTTCAGTTTTATGAAATGAGTGGCTTTTCTCTGTACAGCTTATGCTTTCAATCACCCTACTAACTCACATACCCAATATTATAAGGCCTTGTGCCAATTAAAGAACAACTAATCGAGTTGCTGATGAGTCAATTTCATCTCATGGTGATCTCGTGTGTCAGAGTAGAATTGAGCTCCATAGGGTTTTCAGTGGCTGATTTTTTTGGAAGTAGACCCCCAGGTCTTTCTTCCACAGTGACCCTGGCCTGATTGGACCTGAACCTCCAGCCTTTTTGTTAGCAGTGAATGCATTAACCCTCTGCACCATCTAAACCAAAAAAATTAACCCACTACATCTTATTGAGCCCAACTCATAGCAACCCTACAGGACAGAGTAGAACTGCCCCATAGGTTTTCCAAGGCTGGTCAGCAGCTCAATTCCTTACCCACTGCACCAACAGAGCTCATTTTGTACCATCAAGGGACTCCTAAAACAGTACCAAACATTTGTAATTCATACTTTATTTTGATCTACTTTACTGTTTAAATTTATTTATGGTTTTGACCCATACTGTGGAAGGCCAAAGAAGCCCCCTGCTGAAAATCATAGAACCATAGCAGCCATGATTAAAGTAGACATTAATTATAAAGACTAATAATTTTCATTCTTTCTCCTTTTTAAGTAAATAGAATAGCTAACCTCTTCATGGACACTGATTTCTTTAGATTGTTTTTTAGCTTATACCTTCTTTTGAGTATGGCCTTATCCCACAGCTGGTTTAGCCAAGAACTGCAGTTTTTAAGACAAAGAAACCCTGAGAAGAAAAACATCCAGTCTGGAGCAATCAAGATAAAAAGGAACAGACATTCCTGGCAGTCGAAAGGATCTTCAACCCCCTTCCAATTTCCCTGTATAATCAACTCCCTTTGCTCAGGGAGACAAACTTTAGAGAAGCAATTCTCTCTGTCTCCTTATGTATGGATACTCAATAAATCCTTTGCTTTTCCACTTCAACCTGTTGTGGTGATAAGCTCTGCTTGTGACAGATGATAAACTAAAAAACCAAACTCGCAGCCGTTGAGTCAGATCCAACTCCTAGCGACTGCTCCTTGGGTTTCTGAGGCGGCATCACTACAGAAGTAGACCCTGTTATTCCTGCATCATCAGCTTGATGCCCAATGTGATGGTCCCATCCCCTACTGAGGTTTGGGTGGCCTGCGTTAAGTGGCTGCTGAGATTTTCTTTTCCCAGGCAGACTGCCCACTGCTTCTTCATCACTAGGCCTTTTCCCACAGAAGAGGGAAAGCAAAAGAACAATTTCAGGAGCCGGCATTCAGTGAGAGTCCCCTTCACTTTTTCTGGGCACTACAGGACTGGACAGATAGGGTGAGAATGACTCACCATTGGTTACTAAAGTACCGTTCTTTAGTGGGAGGAGTGCAGGCTTAGTTGATCGTTTTGTGCAGTATATTGTGCCTTGTATGGATCCTCGAAAGAGGAAGGCTTATTGGCTCGGGGATATTTTTTCAGTATTAGGGGCTCCAGTGTGTCTGCAGTGTGAGTGTGGCATTGTCTTTATATGAATTGTTTATTTATGTTCCTTTTTTATATCTTTAATTCTAGATACCTTGGAAGCAGTCACAGCAAGCTCATACTGCTATTTGCTGACCTTGCCAAGCATTGCACTTAAAGAAATTGTTTCATTTGTCAGAGGTGTTCTCTTGTGGAGAGAGAAGTGTTTAAGCTGCTCTGGACCAGTGCTCTGGACCAGAGGGCTGTTTTGCACATTATCCACCCTCTCCTTGGAAATTCACACTCAGAGCCCCCTTTTCCTTTCATCCTTTATTTTCTTCTACCAGAAGTATAAAGGTGAGAGTAACCTGAAGCCCT